AAGAAGTGATTATTACCGTTATTTTTGAATATTGATTAAAAAAATTTTTATTATTTTTTATTAAATCTGAGTTACGTAAATATGTAACACATATTTAATTTAGATTTGTGTAATGTTAATCTTACTAAAATATTAAATTTTTATAAAAATCTTAATTTAGACTAATTCCAAAAATTGGCACATATGATTCAGATTTAATCTTATGATAATCTGGATTGATCCGGGCGGATCACGGATTGTAAAATTTCATCCAGATCGCATCTCTATTTGAGCGGAATTCTGACGGAAAAAGAATTAACTAAGATTCGTAAGTACTAGTACGATTGAATCTTAATTTTTTTTTATTTTTTTTAATAAAGTGGAACAGTTTACTAACCATCCTTTTTTTATTTTATAGACTTCAATTCAAGTAGATTTTCAAAGATGGAAAGAAGATTCATAAGTGCGAGTATGAATCTTAGTTATTTTTTTAGTTTTTTTTATAAATTTACTAACTGTTTTTATTTTTTTTTTTAGAAGTTTCAGCGGGTGGGTAATATCAAAAGAAGAAACTTGAAACAGATTTATTACTTAGTACGTATTTAAAGGATGTGGTGACATGTATATGTGTGGGTGGTTTCTTTTGTTAGAACGTTTACTAACACTTTTAAATTTTTATAGAAATGAGCAATAAATTAACAAAATAAAGACGCAATTCACTCACTTTACTTTGTACTATGTTATACAGTAAATAAATAGTAACTTCGTTATATCAAGGGTTTTTTTCATATTTAAATTAGTACCACACTGAAAATCTGTTATATCGTGTTATTCGCTATATTGAGGTCGTTGTAGAGAGAGGTGACTGTAGTTAATTATTTTTATCTTAATAAAGTGTTAAATGTACTGCAGATAACAAAAAAAAAAAAAAAAATTTAGTTTTTTAATTACTATTAATTAAATACCTAAATGTTAATATTAATTTGCAAAATAAGTTGATATACAGTATTATTATAAATTAAATATATATAAATTACTTGCAGTTTTTTGAAGTAAATTTTTTAGTTTTGATTTTTCAAATCAATTAATTATTGGAAGTTTATTTTGTTTACTTTAATAATTAAAAAATTTTTTTGATTAAATAAAATTACTCCTTACTTTTATAATAAAATATTTATATTTGTAAATTCAGGAATATATAACAAATTAAAAAATGAAAATTGATTTAATTCAAAATAATTTTATAGATTACTTAATATATATGTTTCAGAATTTATTTATTTTTAATACAAATAGATATAAATATTATAAATGTGATTGTAATGATCTATAAAAGTATTAAGATTCAATGTCTATTGCAAATAAAAAAAAAAGGGACAAAAATTAATTACTAAACTAATATTATACAATCCAAACCATTATATTACTTAAAATTTCTTAATGGTTCATATTTGGCCATCCGAAATTTGTACTTGTAGTACTACTCATAAACCCATTACCATTAACAGCAGAAAATAAATGATTATTATTGTTCGATTGATTTTGATTTTGATTTTGATTTTGATTAGTAATACTATTAATTAAATTTTTTTGTTGATGAGATAATAGTCCATTTGATTGATTTGGTCGCCCATTCGAAAATGGACTAATTTGTTGTGTCCCAAAACCTGAAGGTACTATTTGTTGTAATTGTCCAATTCCATGATCTGACGTAGTATTCATAGAAGTATATGACATATTTGTGTTTTCAATCAATGGAAATGATGATATTGAAGTTACATTTCCAAAATTTGGCAAAGAATTTTGACGATTTGCCATCATTTCAGGTGAAACAATTGAATTTTGCTGCATACTAACACCAAACTGGAAATTATTTTTATTCAAAAAAAAAGTCAGCTTTAATCGAAAAAAATGTATTTAAATGATTTTACTTACTAGATTATTATCAGCATTGTTGGTTCTAAATGGAATATTAGATGTATTAGAAATAAGACTTCCATCATATGCTCTAGCCTCATAAGAATTCATTCTACCACCAAACCCACTATTCAAACCATTAAATTCATTAGACGACATTGTTGAACTACTCGTGCTAAAATTTAGCCCAAATAAATCAGTTCCAGATGGTGTAGAAGTTCTCGCATTTTCAAAAGTACTATTAGATAAGATTGATTGGTTGGAATTAAAACCAACTCCTCTACTCACTAAATTTTGTTGAGTCTGACTAAATTGATTTTGTTGCTCAGCGGAACTAGCTGATCTTAGTGGTATTCCGTTATTTATTGAATTAAATGAATTAGGATTATGGCTTATTAATGATTGTTGAGGTGCACTGAATAATGAAAGGATTGCATTTTTATCAAATTTATTTTGTTGCTGTTGAGTTAGTGGTTGTTGAATTTCTTTAAAATTATAAGAGATAAATTATTAATAACTTTTTATTTATTAACTTTTTTTTAAAAAAAAGAAGTTTAACAAACCAGTTTCTGAAGAAAGTGATCCAAACGCGTCCAAAATGGTTTGCGAAGAATTTTGAGTAGTATTTTGAAATGGAATTTGTTTCGAAGAATTTATAAGTGATTGGCCGGATGATTGTGAAATTGGTAATTTAATTTGCATTCGCTGTTGTTCTGTTTGAGGATTAACCGAAGGATTGGATTTCGGACTACTGGTACTATTGTTATTCAAACTCTCAGCATTACGAGCTTCTAACAGTAATGCAGCAGCTACTTCAACATTACCACCAGTACGTCGAAGAGCATCGCGGTTTTTTGCTTCGTCTTGGAATCCCATATTCCATAACTGGGTTAACTTTTCATCACTCGAAATATTTGAAACAATTGATGATGATGCAGATGGAGCCGATCCACTTGGAAGTCTACAGAGAATTTCAATAGCTGCACTAAGATCACCGTTAGTAGTATTTAAAACTTCGCGATTTCGGGCGTGATCAGTGAATCCCATATCTTTGAGTTGACGTAACGCGCTATCATGATTACCACGTTCATTATTATTATATTTTATAATGGAATCATTTGCTGCACGACGTGGAGGTGTCGGAGGAGGTACAGATGAACTAAACGTTGATTGCTTAGGCTGATTAATCAATAAAGATTAATAAATATATATATTGATGGAATAAGCTTTTATATTGTAAAAAATATATCTCACACCTTATCAGGATGATCACGATAGATTTGCCTTTCGTATTTGTTTCGTATATATCTTTCCATTTCACTATAAAAATATGATTAACAATTAAGCTTCACAAAAATTTTATACACAAAAGCTATAATTTACCTATCGGAAGCATTAACTGGCACAGGATGTAATTCTGAATGAGGGTTCCATTTGGCATTAGCTTTCAAATTTCCCCACTGTCGCATATTCTATAAGTCGATGCGGACATTAATTAGACAAAAAGTCAATTAATTTATATAGAAACTTTGATTCGATCAATCACCTCAATTTGTTCCGGTGTCCAAGAATCTAAAGATATTGATTTAACTTTAGAAATATGAGTACCCATTTTGCGATGTAGGCCACCACAACGTATGCAAAGAAATACGCCAAGGTTGTGAGAAGCCCATCGAGGCCCTAAAAATATTTGTTCAAGTAAAAAAAATGTACTTATACAAAACGAAAAGAACAAGGGCGGAATAATGGTTTTTATATACCGACCTTTTGCACCACAGTCAGCGCATGTATCGTTTCCGGGTTGTTTTGTCATTTCGAGCAAGATGCGCTCATTCTTTTCGTTGACTACTTTTTTAGCTCTATCCATGTTGTTTAAGTTCTTAGTAAAAACAGGTTTCCAATTAGAATTTTTAGATGGCAACAAGAAGTGAGTTTGTAAACAATAAGTATTATATTATGAATTGCATTATGTAATAACGTGTCTAAAGCATAAACTAACCAATTTAGGATCTAATCTACGTAATGAAGATATCAACTTTTTTTTATTAAAAAAAATTTAAAAAAATGTCTGGATCTTTGACCACAGATTTAGAGAGTTCGATTAAAGAAAACGAAGAGTCTTTAAAAGAAATAGAAGAACTATTACTTTTTAGTCCACAAGATTCTGAATTAAAGAATCTTTCTAGAGAACTCAAGGACTTGATAAAATTACAACAAGAACAATTATTACAAGTAAAAAAGAATGAACTACTCGCACATTTTGGCTTATTCGAAGAACAAAATAAAACGGTAAAGGAAAATGAATATTTGAACATATGTTTATTGAGTTAGATAAAAATGTGTTAACTTTCGTCTTTCTCTTGTTGTTTCCGAAATTCGAACTTGGAGACGGAAAGCACTGATGTAGCAGCACAACGCAAATCATTGGCAAATATTGAAGATACAGAAATTATACAACCTGGTGATAAATGTTGCATTCCGTGGACTCATCCGGATTATGAAAAAGTGTTTTTTTTACCAGGATTAATACATAGTATTAATACAGAGAAGAAAACTTGTAATGTTTTGATTTTAACTCCAATTACCCCTTCAACTCGTATATGCAAAAAATATATTTCTTCTCATTGTAAAACAGTACCTTGTGCTTATAATTACTCTCATGGAGAAGAGATATCATTTGAACTTGTAGCGCCTTATGAACTTTTGAATATTGATCATGTGGATACATATCAAATTGGCCGGTATTTTTGGGCGGAGTATAAAGACGAAGTTTGGTATATGGCCAAACTTATAAATATTGAAGAAGGTGGTCAAGGATTCAGAGTAATTTACAAAGGCTATGAGAATGAACATCCAGATGGTTTCGTAGTTTCTCATGATGAAATCATACCAGTTGTTGGACTTGAAAACGAGGATGAAAGTTCTTTCGGCGAATATTCCGATGATGATGAAAGTGCCAGTTTAAGTGAAAGCGATTCTCCTTCGTTGAGATTGGGACTAGGTTCTGAAAGTAATGATAGTGATATTTTAAATGTTTATAATCACAATGATACCCAGGTTCATTTTGCAGAATGGGAAAAACATACGAAAGGCGTTGCTTCTCGGATTATGGCAAAAATGGGATATAAAATGGTAATGATTAAAATAAATTAAATAAGAATGATCATTTTACATTTAAATTTTTTCCGAATCAGGTAAGAAGGTAAATTATTGGCAGATCTAAACGAAAGTTTATCGGTTATTCTTAGGGCGAAGGTTTAGGAAAAAACAGCGAAGGTATAACAAGTCCGATTGAAGTAAAACTCTTTAGTAAGGGAGTTTCATTAGACTTTATTGATAAGGAAGGAAAACCTGACCTGACCGGGCCACATCGTCGACGCCGACGTCGTCATAAATCGGAAGGATCAAAAACTGTCCATAATTCATCTAAAAGAATCAAAAACAGAATTGGATATACTTCTTCTAGTGCTAATAATAATAATTCAGATGTTTTTGATTTTTTGAACGTCTCATTAAATAAAAGCAAACATCGTGAAAACAGTAATTTTACTGAAGCTTGTAATGTATCAACAACTTTATTGTCTGCTGGATCATTATCAAATGGTAATAGTGGTGGTGCTAGCGGTAATGAACGTTTCCAAAAATCGACATTGGAAAATAGCCAGTTACAACTTTATCATATTCAGAATCAACTAAATCAAAAATACCAAGAACTTCAAAAAGCTAAAGAATCATTAAAGAGAAATGAAAAGAAAGATTCCACTATGGCTAAACATTTTAGAGAAAAAATAAATCAAATTGAGGCAACTTATCAGGCATTAAAAAGAAAAGAACAAGAAATTCAGCGTGGTCTTGATAGAGCAAAGGGAAATAAAAAAATGATCGTATTTTAGATATTATTTTAGATATAATGGCATATTATGCGAGTTAATTAATTTAATTATTTTCGCAAAAATTTAATATTTATAAAATTTGATGAAATATGAGATATATAGTATTATAGTGTGATTGATTATATAATCTTATTAAAAAGTTTTAATTTAATCACATAAAAATCTCGAAATATATTCAATAAATACAGTATGTATACATTATTAAGACTAGTACTGGCAAAATATTGTATTCAACGTCTCTTATAAACACATGGCTTTAATAATTCTGCAGCATGGTGTGATTGCAACTTTTTTGTCTTGTTAGATTTTTTCTTGGCGAAATCAAACATAATAAACATCTTATTTGAATTATCCTTAAATAAAGGAAAATGTTAAAAATTTAAAACGAACGTACAATCATAATTATTTATAATATTTATTTTCATACCTTCTTCATTAATTTAAATCCGATCTCTGCGAGAACTTCAATAAATTTATTAATATCAGAGAATCGACTTACAACCTCAGCAATTTTCAATTCACCACTATTTACAAAAAAATAAAAATTAATATATACAACACATGTACATACTCCATAAATTTAAAATACAAGTTAATAGACTAACCTTGGTTTCAATACACGATATGCTTCTTTGAGAAACTCAACATAATTGGTTCCCATAAGCGATAAACAAAATATCACAATATCAAAGAAACTGTCAGGAATCGGTAGCTAAAAATGAAATAATTTATTTATTAAAAAGATAAATTTTCCAATAAATCAGGTAAATTATAATTCATACCTTGGCAATATCGCACACGATCACTTTATCGTGTTTAGCAACCAAATCGAATGATAGCACTTTATTTGGTGATTCCAATCCTATCTTACCTTCACCACAACCCAAATCTGCAACAATTATTTCTTCTGACTTCTGCTTCAAATATAACAATATTAAATCAACAGGATTAACTGGCCACGATTCAACAACTGACCTAAATCCATCATGATACTATCAATGAAGTTGAATTGTTAATAAGTCCGTTTACAATTTTATAAAACTTATTAAAAAATAATTAATTTACATTTAACCTCATCAAATAATTGTGGGTTCTCCTGAAACATTTCTAAAGCCTTTGATCCAGTTATTGTGTATAATTGTTCATTTATCCAACGAAATTTACCCTCAGATAATTTCTTTCTCATTTTTTCTAATTTACCATTTTTTAATTTTTCGGGGTTTAATAATACTTCTTTAGCGCTTTCTTCAGAGTTATCGAAATCATCAGCATCTGCGAAAGGACTATGTGTATTCTAAAGAATAATTTAGTTAAATTTCTAAGTAGGATTTAGGAATCCATTTTAATTACGAAAACAACCTTTGATTTCGATTTTTTAGAAATAATCATTTGCTTATTTTGTCCAATTTGATGATGTTCTTTCAATTTTTCATCTTTTATAGATTGTGCATATTTTTTCGGCTTATTCTTATCTAACTGGTTTGGCTCTTGATTCTTACTTATTTTTGAAATATTATTCAGTTTACGTTTCTTCTTTTCTGTATATGCCACTTGTTCTTGCGTTCTTTTTTTATTACGTTTATCATTTGTTGTTGTTTTTTGAGGTTTCACTTTTCCTAAATTCCAACCGGTTTCAAACATATTGGCAAAAGTTTCAAAACCAAACAAAAAAAAAAAATCTTAAATAATCTGATCGATTATCACGTGATCAGACGATCTAAAAAAATTTGGAATTTTACTGAATTAGGAAATTTTTTTTAGGAATAGAATTAATTCCTAAAATAGGAAATTTTTTTATGATTATATCTTTTTTTTTAAAAAAATGAAAGAATTATTTACAGAAACTTCCCAATATCGAAATTGGTTCTATTCAAAGGAGAAACTGCAAGAAATCCGTGAAAAGAATCATGTGTCAGCTGTAGAGCGAGTGAAACAAAGGGTGTTGGAGGAAGCTGTAAGTAAAATATATTTATTGAATATTTTATTCGAATTATTCATTGTTATTTTCCTTAGGAACTGCAAAAATTAGTTTCAGCAAAATCAACACCTACACGTGGTGAACAACCTGAACGAGTAAATTCACCGCGATTAAATCCATCTGAAATCGAATATTTAAAGATGGAAGATGAATTAGCATTGTGCAATTATTATCAAACACAAATTCCTTTAGTCGACAGTAAATTCCCCGAGGAAATTCAAAAAAATAAATTCACAGATAAAGTAAAAGTAATTATAATTTAATTATAATTCCTTGATCAATAAAATTCTAATCGTATAATATGATGATTAAAATTAATTTCTTTGTTTAGGCCAGTGCAATAACATATGTAAAGAGATTTTATTTACGAAATACTATGATGGATTATCACCCCAGGGATATAATGTGGGTCCGATTGGATTGTTTATTAAAGCATAAAATCAAATTAATCTTAACGAAATAATGTAATTTGCAGGATAACTTGTCTTTTCCTCGCTGCAAAAACCGAATTTTCGTTTGTTCCTATCGAAGATTTTATTAAATTCTTAACTACCAAAGCGACCAAGGAAGTTTTTTTCGATTTAGAGTTAATAGTTGCACGAAGTTTAAGATATGAATTTACTGTTCATCATCCATATCTCAGTGCGTATGGACTATTTCTAGACATGCAAGTATGTATTAAATTTTGAAATAAGTTTATAGTTTTTATAATTAACTATTGATCACCGTACTTTTTATTTAATGAAGACGGCTTTAAAAGATGCAAAAAAAATACAAGCTATATACGAAAAATCAAAGGAATACATTCACAAATCTCTTTTCACCGATACAATGTTTCTTTATCAACCATCACAAATCGCATTAGCAACGGTACGTATTGCTGCCAAAGAATTAAATTTTGATCTGAATAGGTAAGAATAATTTTTATAAGTAAATAATTTTAAATATTATTAATATGGAATTTCTTTCGGGTTACTAGTTATTTTCGTATAAAATTTAACTCTGAACCTAAAGGAAAACTAGATAATTTATACAAGATACTCGATGAAATTGAAAAAATTATAAAAGAATATGAACCTACTCCCCTCAATAAGGCAAAAGAGATCGATGCTAGATTACATAAATGTAAAAATCCCGAAAAAAATCCAAATAGCGCCATGTAAGTGTTAAAAATGAGAACAGCCATTTAATATTTATGCTATTTATACTAAAATAAACTAAATAAAAAATTAAGTTCAAGGAAGAGAAAGCTCGAAAGAGAAGGCCTTGAAGATGCCGATCACCATAAAAAAAAAAGAATTGAAGACGAATATCAAAAATCTTTAGAAGAAGTATTTAAATAGTCTTGAGAAAAATTCGTGTGTTATTAATGTAATTTCTTCTGTTATAATAAAAACAATGATTGTGCTACGTATACAATGAAGATTTATTAATTATATTTTATATCAATACAGTCAACTTTCCATTACCCTCCCATCTATAAATGCACTATACAAAAATTATGTATATGGTCCCAAGGGGAGCGCATTTATAGAGAGTTGACTGTAGTTAATATATCTATTGCGCAATCAAGATTGTTCTTTTTTACAATTTTTTTCACGAAACATTGCAGTATATAATTCCGAGTTTTGATAGCAACTAATTTGCACCGGGTTAAATTCCACGTTTCAGGCCCCCAATATACATCCAATTCTTCATAAATGCACCCCTTCGGAACTAGGCATTTATCATTTATATTTGGCTATATGAATCTGTTCAGGTCGCACAAAATCACGTGAGTGCATTTGTGAGTTTTTTTTTAACCGGAGCATGTGACCGACGTTGATCTCATATTTAGTGCTTCAAGACCGGTTTTCGGTCTCCGGTTTCAGACCAGTTTAACCAGAGACCGGTTTGAAAAAATTCTCTGTAATAAGATTCTAAACCGGTTTGACATGTTTGATTTCTTTTAGGCCAATTCGGTTTGAAACCGGTTTTGAAGACCGGTCTTGGAGCACTACTCATATTTATGTAAAGTGAACTGTGAATTTATTCCGGAAGTCTGCTGCAAAAAATTCCGGAATTATAAATTTTATTAGAAATTTACCGGAAAATCCGGGTAAATTAGACGACCCGTGATCCAAATCACGTGTTCATACGAATAAGTTTTAAAGGCTTTAAACGCTTTGATGGCCAAATTCACTCGGAAATGACTTCAGTTACAAGATCACCAGAACAGAGAGACGTTAAAGGGCTGCCTTTAGGTGTAGGAAACTACATTGTGGGCGCTGAAATAGGTCGGGGGTCTTTTGCAAGCGTTTATAAAGGTTATAATAAGGTTGTTTAATTTCACAATTTAGAAATGGTCCAACTCTAGAATCGTCTCGATAGCTTTTTTACCTGCATAACTATTACTACTACCTTCACCATAACCTCTATAAGTGTGCTTAAAATCAACCCGTTTATCAATTACTTAACCGCCATTTTCTTATGATTTATAGAAAACACACGAGACTGTTGCTATTAAATCCGTGCTGAAATCTAAATTAACAAAAAAGTTATTTGAAAATTTGGAGTCTGAGATACAAATTCTTAAAGGAATTCGACACGATCATATTGTTCAATTAGTTGATTGTAAGGTTGGCATAGTTAAGAAATAAAGTCGCTAGCTGTTTGAAATAGAAGAAAAATTATTATGATATCTTCTTAATTGCATTTTTTAACTATTGCTTTGCCGTTCCTTTTATTAACAAAACCAATTATTTAAAAGAAATCAGATACCCATATTCACTTAATTATGGAATTTTGTTCTATGGGTGATTTGTCAAATTATATAAAAAGACGTGGCGATGTAAGTAGTATCGCCACAACCGATTCAAGTGCACCCCCATTGAAACCTACTACGAATGGCCTAAACGAATATGTCGTTCGTCATTTCCTATTACAACTAGGTATTCTGAAATATATTCATTTTATTTTTGGGAACAAAAGGCACAAGTTTATTAGGGATGTTCATATTTTTTCCATGATTTTTACACTTGTGCTTTAGTTGCAAATTGCATTTTTATCAGTCAATTCAAATTTATATTTACAATACATTGTTTATTATAATATATATTTCTTTCAGCAAACGCGCTGGAGTTTCTAAGATCACAGAACCTAATACATCGTGATATCAAACCTCAGGTGCCATGTTTATACATTTGAAAGGAATATTTGCGTTATATAAGAATTTTTTTTCTCATTTTTATTTAATGTTGCCAGAATCTATTGCTGCTGCCACCACCTACTGATAAACAAAAAGGGCATATTGTTGGCTCACCTGATCTTCCAATTTTAAAAATTGCAGATTTTGGTTTTGCCCGTATATTGCCATCCACTAGTTTGGCAGAGACATTATGTGGTTCGCCACTTTATATGGCTCCGGAAATATTACGTTATGAAAAATATGACGCTAAAGCTGATCTTTGGAGTGTTGGTGCTGTTTTATATGAAATGGGTGTTGGTAAACCTCCATTTATAGCTCAAAATCACGTAGAATTAATAAGAAAAATTGAAAAACGCGGGGATAAAATTAAATTTCCTAACGAGTCGTCCGGAATTATACAAACAGGATATACTCAATTGGATTCAACAAAGTCATCTTTAAATAATAAAGCATCTTCACATAATGGTGGAACATACCCAGTTATTAGCGAAGAACTTAAAGATTTAATAAGACATTTGTTGAAACGTAACCCCGTAGAACGTATCTCATTTGAGGAGTTCTTTATGCACCCTTGTGTAACAGGTAGATTAGAACCTTTGCAACCAAGGTCGTCTAATAAAACATTTCATTCAAAAGAAAGATCCGGTCATGATTCAAAACTCAAAGGTATTAATATGATAAACACCCAGGATAATGAACTAAAAGCGCATGTTAGGGATAGGTCAAAATCATCCCCAGCTCCAGTGATATATCAAGAGATTTCTAATAATCAATTGAGAAATCCACAAATTCACACTAAACCTAATTTTTCCCGTAAAGATTATGACATACAGAAAGGGAATTTAGTGGATTATATTAATCCTTTACAAAGAAAAACTTCTAAGGATAATCGGTATTATATCATTGTAAAAAAATTTTTTTTTGCTTTAAAATTATGTGAAGAATTTATGTTGATCTTTAATTTTTAAATAATATTAAAGAAGCACTAAATATTCAGGCACAACAACAACAGGAATAACAAAAAACGTTGACAATAATAACCTTCAGGTTAATACAGATTTGCAACCACCATATGATAATTCATCACCATCTCCTTCCTTGTTAGTGCAAAAACCTTCGACTGAAGAAGTAACAAACAAAAAGCGAATTGATGAAAATGAAACTTTAACCAGTCGATCAAATGGAGAAGAATTAACTGGTTATGAATTTGAAAGAGAATATGTTCTTGTTGGATCGAAACGAACGGTAGAAGTTAATGCATTAGCAGATGGTATGAACTTTTTGAAATTTATTTTTAAAAAGACCAATTAAAGGGTATTATATATGGTATTATACCTTTTAACTGGTTGGCAATTTAATTCTTTGCAAATATAATTAATATATTGTTGCTTGAATATGATATTAGAATTCAATGCCGCATCACCAAAAGGGTTAGCACATACATATGGAAATAAAGGTACTGCTATTGTATTGGCTGGACCTTCAAATCAATTAGATATTCAATATCGAACAACGCCTCCGAATGCAAATACTTCAGCATCTTTCTTTTTTTCGACGACACCACCTTTCGCTTTGCCTATTTCTGTAGGTCATGAAAGGGCTAATTCTTCTGGTAATGCCAATAGCGCGTTATCGGCTCTTGAAAGGGCTTTATCTGTTGCGTCAGGTCGTTTGTTTGGAACGGGCAATTCACCTCCATCTTGGAGCGAGAAATATTCAAAACAAAAAGGAAACGCTATTGTAATTCCTTCTTCTGAATTGAGCGATCCCGCAGAGGTAATATAATATTTTAGTATCAATAATAAAATTCTTGTTAAAGACAGATATGCATGTAAACTTTCAATAATTTAGGAAGCAGTCGTTAAAACGATAGAAGATCATGCGCACAAAGCTTATGTTATTTTCCAGTTTGCTAGTACGAAATTTAATCAGCTTCTACCACCACCACCATCTGCTAGCAACGACATGGTGGATGATATGCCTGTCTCAGAAGAAGTAGCTGCAATAAAAGCGGAAGAGGCGTTTGTTTTGTACCTAAGGGCATTGTCTTTTTTGCAGGCAGCCATGGATAGTGCTAAAGAATATTGGACAAATGGAGAAAAGAATACAAATTATCCTGGCGGAAAAAGAGCTTCTCCAAGATTAATTGCTGGTAAGTTTCTTTATAATAATAATGTTATTAGATATTGAAAAATAACATATCTATATTTAAACAAACCAATTAGCTGTACAATGGGTTCGTGAAAAGTTTAATGTATGCCTTGATAAGGCAGAAATCGCTAAATCTAGGTTTCCCATAGAGGAAAAGTCGACTAGTGTCAGCGTAGAGAGACTTCTTTATGACCGAGCACTTGAAATGGTAAATTATACAGGTGTAATTTATTCATTCATTCGTTCCTTGTTACTTACAAAAGTTTTATTTCATACATATGTTAGAGTCGTCAAGCAGCTCTTAGAGAATTGGTTGGTGAAGACTTACCTGGATGTGAAAAAGCATATCAATCAGCTATTTATATGTTAAATGGCATTCTGGAGACACCTACAGACTATGAAAAGATCGAAAAGATCGAAGAAGACGATCGAAAGATTGTAAATGGATGTATGTAATATTGTTGATCTTGTTATTTAAGTAATTTATATACTCTGTACTCTAAGTTATTTTTTTTCACCAAACGAACAGATATTAAGGAAATCAACAAACGATTAAGCTCATTACGAAAGAAATTGACTAATCCAGAAATTCCAGTCGTTACAGGTCAAAATGAAAGTCCCGGATAATAATTAACAGGATTAAATAAAAAAATATCGATGGATGATTTCAAGCCAACAATTTATATTATTTGAGATAAGGTAGGTTTTACACTAAGCAGTAAACTTGAACATTTCACATTTGAAACATTTTAAGAATGGGCTGAAAACCATTAAATTAGCCGTATCCCATTTGATTGAAAGTTACAACTTATTCCCCCTTTTTAGAAATTAAATCATGAATTAATAAATAATCGTACTGTAATTATATTGTTAAAATTAGAATTATTTATTAAATTGAATAAATTGCCTTAAAAAACATAATTCTATTTTTTTTAGTCTATTTAAGAGCTCTATAAAATATTTGAATTTAAATAAGCTTAAATGTAATTTACAAATGAAATATTTCTATTGATTTCATTATTATACAGTATCACAAAGAACCCATGTTTCACCATCCTCATTTTCATTATCTTCTTCATTATCTAAAAGATATAAATATTTTTAATATTATCAATAAAAATTTATTTCTTAAAAATAAAGAAATAACTACCTCCTTCAAAATAATCATTTAAAGTAGTTCCTATAATGTTATTATCTGAGCTATTTCTACGTGCCAACATTACTCGTACAACTTCTTGAAAATCCAAGTTAAACGATTGATCAGGTATTCGATTAAGTGCCGTAAGATGCCCATACCTTAACAAATTAGTTTAAAAAAAGGGAAGTTTAGTAATGAATTAATTACTTTATCACTAAATACTTCAAAGGTTATTCTCACCTTCCAAGATTAGGAGCATTACAACAATGAAATAAGTTATGTAAAGTATGAGGAACTTTATGATAAGGTATTTCAATACCTTGTGTATGACATAGATAAGCAACATTGTAATTAAGCATAGCCATTCCTACAGTAAAACTCTCTAAATTTTCAGCTGTTAAAAAAAGTGGTGGCCTTTTACTATTGTTAAAGTCCTGACCGTTATTAACGATATTTTTAAATTTTTGAATAAAGAAAAAGAAATTTATATAAAAAAAATTTTTAAAATTATTTAACAATTACCTTCCCGCTATTTCATTCAATGAACCTTCAGCGTATGAATTTGATCCTTTGTTAACTAATGTAAATGGAAGTTTTACACCAAGATAATGAGCTATTAAACCCAACAAATGTATTACATGACCCACCGCTGTATTAATATCTTCAAATGGGTATCCTAAATTAAAGAAAACAAAAGTTTAATATATTCTTTAATCGCTCCTTTTTATAATAAATTACTTACTTGTAAAATCGGATTTTTTGGGTAAACTTCTTCCAGCAATTGAATACTCAGAATCATCATCAACTTTTCCATTTGGAGAAGATATTAATTTACTAATACTACCGCCACTCAAAATTCCATTATTCTGGTAATATTTTGTTTCATAATCATTTAATTTTTTTAAATCAAATATAGAGACTAATTCACTAATTAAAACTTTTCTTGATTGAATTAAAACTTGATGCACATTGCGCCATTTTTCTTTAATATTATCAATGTCTTTTGTTATTACAATTTTTTGATGTGATTTAAACTTTTTGAAATAAGCACGAGAATCTAATAATACTTGTTTTCTTGCTTGTAAATTTTTTTTCCTTAAATCAATTTCTTGACGATCTAATAATATAATTATGTAAATAAATATTTTTTTAAAAAAATAATAATAAATAAAACTTCTACATACCTCTAATTATTTCTTCTTTTCTTTTATTTATTTCTACTTCCAAGTTATTTAATTTTTGTAGACTAGCATGTTTATCAGCTAAACTTATTTGAAATTTCCTCGTAGATCCCGAAAGAAATTTATTAGCTCGTTCTATTTTTTGCTGTTTAACTTGATTGATCTGCTTTAGCTCCACACTATACGTTCTCAATCTGAACAAAAGAAATAAAATAAAATAAAATAAAAAATAAAAAATAACAATTATGAAAAAATTAAAATTTTATTAAATAAAAAACACAATACTTTTCACGAAGACAAATTGTACACCAAAATTTGCTATGATAGTTATGACAAAGTTGACACTCCATTTGAAAGAGAAAGTGTTTTATTTATCAAAGAAACGTTTTTTTCAACGATCATGATTAAAAACGTTACGTTTATGATTACGTAATCGTTGCACAGTCTTAACGGTAAGAATTTAATTGGCTGACTTGTTATAACGAGGATATGACGTATAAAATTGGTTAATATCACGTGTTGTAAAAAGGTTATATCGAGAATCGCTTCTTTTCATCTTTATTTACATTGCAATTATGTCCGATAATACTGATTATCTTGGATATGCTTATGCTTTTGTAAGTATTAAATATAAGTCCTTTATTTAGGAAATTTATGAAATAAATATATTTTTTTTAAAAAAAATAATAGATAGTTACCTTAGGCGGCCTAATTGGCTTCATTAAAGCAGGTCAATACATTAAAAAGTTTAACTTATTTGAATTAGTTGACCAATTTATTAATTAAAAACCATTAAACTTATCATAAAATAGGTAGTACGACTTCTTTAGTGGCCGGCTTATCGTTTGGTAGTTTAGCGGTAAGTAATATTCATTGCAAGTGGTTTTCTCTATTATTATTCGTCTAACAATTTTTACTACAATTATAGGGATTCGCAGCATATCGCGTAAGCGCAAATCCAAGAAATGTCGGTTTAGCATTAGGTAAATTTTTAGCAAACTAACGTAAATTTTTCTAAGCTATCTTTAATCTTTTTAAATTAATTATTGTAGCCGTTTCTCTTGTATTGTTATTTGTGATGGGATCTCGTTTTTACAAAGGTGGAAAATTTATGCCAGCTGGTCTTGTCACTGTTCTTAGGTAAATAAATAATATCATTCTTACATAATTACAGTTTAATGGCTAAATTTTGTTTCATTATTTAGTTTGTTTTCAGCTGCTCGCTATGGATATCGATATATCTCTTAAAATATAACTATACAACTTTTATACTTATGACAATTTATTATAACTTACAAATTTTTAATAAGTTATTAGTTACACTAATTATTTATTAAATAAATACTTAAAAATATACAACTAATTTCCTTTTATTAGCTTATCTAGAAATTAAAAAATATTGTTAATTTTCTCTTATATATGGCTTGTTTTAATATAAATGATTTTATTTTATTAAAGTAAAAATGAGTTATAATGTAACTGTTACAATTTGATAAAATCCTCTCATGTTATAATAATACAGAAAAACTTATTTAAACAGAATAATCAAAAATAAAGAAAATGGAAAAATAAACAAAATACCTAAAACTAAGTAAAATTTTTAATCTCTATTATTGGATTAAATAAATATATTTAATTTCTTTAAAATCAAACAAATCTTTACTAAAACTTTTTATTATCAGTTCCATTTACTTACTAGTATTTTTTTGATTTTTTTTTTAGAGTATTGCTAATTTTAACCAGGAGGATAATTTCCTTTTCCTTAAGATTTTTATGAAATATATAAAATATATATAATTGGATATTAATCACATAAAAATTTGGCAATTCTTGGTTTTAAAAAAAATTTTTATCATAAAAAATACAATTTAACTATAAAAATCAAAATTATGTAATTTTCTCAAAAACTATCTGAACAACTACCTTTTTAATTTAATAAAACCTTTTCTTTTTATAAATTTACATATAATCTTATTTATAGATTACTATATAAGTCAATTTCAGATTACCAATTTTTTCATTAAAAATAAAGTTTTTGAGTTTCAGATTTTAATTTTATCATTAAATGAGTTTTAGGCAGTAACACTAGTTAAAATATTAAAGGTTGGTTAAATTTTTTATATTAAGAGGTAAAAATTCACCTTTGGTGAATTTCACCATGATGTTGTAGTATAACTTAAAAAATTGTGTAATTTGAAAAAATCATCTAATATATTTAAAAATTAAAGTAAAATATACTGATAAATTTCAAATTTACACTAGTAAATTTTTTTTTAAATTAATCAGAGGTTAATATTAAATTAATCCTTAATTTTATATTCTTTAGTAATTAATTTAAATTAATTTACCAGTAATACTTTAATTCCACAAAAAAAAAAAAAAAAAAGTAATACTTTAATGAATTTTACTTTGATTTACTTAAAATTTTCTAATATTTTATGGTAAAATTCACTTTTAGTTAATTTTATTTTAATTTACATAATATATAAATAAAGTTTTAGCTTTAAAATACTATTTTTTTTTGTTTTTATAATTTTTTTCAAACAATATAAAGAAATATATATAAAACAAATGCTGTATTCTAAAACTTTAGCAGACTTTTTATTATTATTATTTAATAATAATTTTACTATAAATTTTTTGCCAGTTATTAAACTAGATTTTAATCATAATTTATAAATATAGATGATTTTTCTTTTGAAATATCATCAAAAATTTTATAATAATAAAATTAGATCAGATCAAACAAATACCATATATCACAGGCCATAGTACCCCTCCGGGACCCCAAAAAATACATAAAAAGGTCACATTTGAGTTTGCTTAAAAAGAATCTAAATTTTCATGAAAATCTTGCCTTTTTTAGATAATGCCAGCCTAAATTTTATTGTCCGTTTTGATACTGACCAGCATTATCATAATTCTGGCTCTGAAAAGTTGCTTATTTTAGGCCAAAATCTTGCCGATCATTTATGACCTCCATATGTATTTTTTGGGGTCCTACCCCTCCTATGCATAATACCCCTCTTGAAAAATTTCATAGAATTGTATAATACCTAAGGGGATATTTTACAATTATCTCATGATCCAGTGATCAGTTTTGAGTAATCATTTTTTTGTTTGCTAGTTCTCATTAAGCTCTTCAAAATAAAAAAAAGATCGCTCAAATTAAACTGGTAAATGGTGAGATATTTGCAAAAAATGGAATTTTTAAATTTTGTTTAATATTCAAGGGTATAGGAGGACCTGGAAAACTATATATAAAGGTTACCGCCAAAAAATCAAAAAAAAATAGGAGTGCGAACCATAATATGATTAGTTGTTTTGCTGTTTACTCACATGTTTCTATTTCAAATATAGTAATAGGGCCAAGAAAGGAAAGATTTTCACAAAAAAATTCTTATTGTTGCGAACCAACACGTGACTTTTACTAATTAATTTGGCGGTGACCTTNAATATGATTGGTTGTTTTGCTGTTTACTCACATGTTTCTATTTCAAATATAGTAATAGGGCCAAGAAAGGAAAGATTTTCACAAAAAAATTCTTATTGTTGCGAACCAACACGTGACTTTTACTAATTAATTTGGCGGTGACCTTTTTGAAAATTAATTATAGCCTCGAATCATGTTTGGCGGTAACCCCTATTAGAAGTTTTCCAGGTCTTGGTATAGGGTCAAACTCCGATTTTTGCAAAATATCCAGGTTATTATAGCCCATGATATATGGTAGTTTATTTAATATAATTCTTTTTAAAATTGCTGAAAAAACTAGAAGATTTTAGCAAGTTGGCAAAATTTTAAAATAGTAAAACTTTTGTTAAAATTATATGAAAGTTTTATTAAAAAATGATAAACCTCTGAAAAAAAGTAAATTTATTATAAATACTAAAACTGCTAAAATTTTTCCAAAATTATACTGTCAACTCTCTTTATAGTCACACATTTGGGACAGTTTATATTTGGTGATTATAAAGAGATGTGACTACAGTCAACTCCCTCTATAGTCACTCCCGTTATAGTCACATTCTACTATATAGTTATACCAGTTGAATGTTCAAAACACTTTATTATTAAAATCTATCTTATATAGTCACAATCTATCTATAGTCACTATTACACCTATCCTCAAAAATCCTATATTAAAAAGAACCATTTATAATCACAGTTATATAAAGAATATATTAAATAACTTGGCATCTAATAATCGTACAAAGATGTACCATAGTTTGTTAGAATCATCTCACTGAGACGAATCGAATTGTGGTAGTTTTATTCTTTTACAATCACTGGCTGATGAGTTATTCAACAAAATGTTTAACATTGGCATTATAATATTTCTTAATTTACATTTACTGCGCCATTTAACATTTTGCTAAATTTCTCAGTACCTAGTGATTGTAAAAAAGACGATTAATAGCTCGTTGGAATCGCCTCATCAAGACGAATCGAATGGTGGTAAGCTCATCTCTCTGTAATCAATATTGACGGAGTTACTACTTAAAAACTATTTAATATTTTTTTAATTTCGGAAATTGATCTAGTGATCTGATTTCTATGTATTTTATACCATCAGAACCGTCTCATCAAGACGAATCGAATGGCGGTAAGATCATCTTTCTACGATTAATATTGGCGGAATTACAATACAATAAAGTTTTAAGTATAATTTTGACGAAAATTATGTTAATTTTTGACCGGAATTATGATATACTAATATAAGAAATTTTTTATATAATTACATCTCTTTATAATTACCAAATATGGACTGTCCCAAATGTGTGACTATAAAGAGAGTTGACTGTATATAAAAAATTTCTTATATTAGTATATCATAATTTTGGCCAAAAATTAACATAATTTTGGCCAGAATTATACTTAAAACTTGATTGTATTGTAATTCTGCCAATATTAATTGTAGAAAGATAATTTTACCGCCATTTGATTTGTCTTAAGTAGTAACTCTGTCAATATTGATCATGGAGAAATGAGCTTACTACCATTCGATTTGTCTTGATGAGGTGATTTTAACGAGCTATTAATCATCTTTTTACAATCACTAAATACCAAGAAATTTAGCAAAATGTTAAATGGCATAGTAAACGTAAATCAAGAAATATTATAATAGTACTAGGGCTCTGATCAGTTCAGTTCAGTACGGTTTTTGCCAAAACCAAAACCGAACTGAATTGATCAGTATCAGTATTGTTAATTACTGAAACCGACCGGTAAATACCAAAAACTGAACTGATTTACCGATTCATTATCGGTTCAGTTTTTAACATTTTTGCAATGTTTTTTATTAAAAAAATGTGCAAAAACGTTTTTTTTTAATTAAATTAACTAATAAAAATGTTTTGCAACGTTTTTATTAAATTATTGAAAAAAAATGTTGCGAACCATTTTTTTTAATTAAATTAACTAATAAAAAACGTTTCACAACGTTTTTTATTAAGTTATTGAAAAAAAATGTTGCAAAACATTTTTTTAATCAAATTAATAAATAAAAATGTTTCGCAACGTTTTTATTAAATTATCAAAAAAAAAAAATGTTATGAAACGTTTTTTTTTAATTAATTAACTAATAAAAAATGTTTCGCAACATTTTCTATTAAGTTATGAAAAAAAATGTTGCAAAATGTTTTTTTTAAAATAAATTAACAAATAAAAACATTTCGCAATTTTTATTAAATTGTCAAAAAAAATGTTTTGCAACGTTTTTTATCAATGTCACGAAACGTTTGGAAAATCAGTTCAGTAAATTTATCGAAATGATCAGTAAAATTTACCGAAGTGATCAGTAAAATTTACCGAAACTGATACTGAAAATATCAGTTCAGTAAATCGATTCGGTAAATTGCAAAACTGATACTGAAACCAAAGTTACTGAAACTGATCAGTAAATTTACCGAAAGGTTCAGTTTGGTAATTACCGAAACCGATCGAAGCCCTAAATAGTACCGATATTAAACATTTTGTTGAATAACTCATCAGCCAGTAATCATAAAAGGATAAAACTCCTGGTAGTTAATACTCACCATAAGGGGTAATCCTAGACAGATGTCTGCTACTTCCTATCTGAGTGGTCACTACAAAGTATACCACTTGGGGTAAACAACTGTACTATCAGTACTAGGTAATCGCAGGCTGTAGTGGCCTTTGAGTGAGACTTAATACCTAAAATGGTGGTATGGAAGGGTACTAGATGGGTCTCTTATACACATCT